CAGATGCAGTATTAGAAGATACAAAGAAAATATCAAAAAGAAAATGAATGCCATTAGAAATAATATCAGGGCCCTCCCTGGTGGTACAGTGAATTAAAGCACAGCACTAAGAAGCTAAAGCCACTTTAACATGAGTCCCATCCCCACCCCAGGGGTGATCCACATGGTGCAGCTGACCTCTCCTGACCCACCCACTGCTCCCTTCAGTAGTGTGCTTTGTTGATTGGCCTGTTCTGCTTCCCACTCTGTCTCTGGTGAATCTTCACATTGCCCCTGCACCTGTGACCTGAACCCCAGTTCTGTATGCATAAATAAATAAATCTTTAAAAAAGAACTGATTAATATCAATGAGCTGAAGACCAAAAATTGAAGATCTAACTAAGAAAACAACATGGATATTCAGAATGCACAATGCACAGTAAAGGAGATGAAAAATTCAAGATAAGTCTATAGTACAATAGATTAAATGGGAAAAAAAATCAGTGTATTTGATGTAAATGAATAAATATCCATGTAGAAATTCACATAGCATCACAAAAATCCTCGAATACCAAAACTCTACTGTTAAAAACAGGAGAATGGAGGCATCACATACCCAGACTTCAAACTATACTACAAACTCATTATAATTAAAACAGTATGGTACTGGAACAAAAACTGACACACAGACCAATGGAACTGAACAGAAAGCCCAGAAATAAAGCCAACCATATATGGACATCTAAGCAAAGAATTGACAAAGGAGCAAAGAATTTGCACTGGAACAAGGACAGTTTTTTTTTTTAATAAATGTTTCCGGGAAAACTGAACCACAATAAACCAAATAATGAAAATAGACCAATACCTCATACCATGCACAAAACAACTTAAAATCGATAAAATATCTGAATATAAGACCAAAAACTATAAAATAGGTTAAAGAAAATTGGGAACAACACTACAAGACATTCATCTTAGCAAAATCTTTAAAGACCCATCCCCCAAAGCAAAGAAAGTGAAGGAAACAATAAACAGTTGGGATTACATCAAACTAAAAAGCTCCTGTAGAGCAAAAGAGACAAAGGGACAACCTACTGATCAGTATAAAATTTTTGCACTCCATGCAATTGATAAGGGATTAATCAGAAAAATATACAAAGAACTCAAATGACTCAGCAAAACCAAAATAAACAATCCAGTAAAAAAAAAAAAAAGGTAGAAAAACTTGAAAAGCATTTCTCTATAGAGAAAATTCAAATGACCAAAATGAAAAAATGTTCAACATCTCTCATAATCAGGGAAATCCAAATCAAAACCACAATGAGATATCACCTCACACAGTTAGAATGGCACATATCAAAAAACAAGTAGCAACAACAAATTTTGACAAATATGTGGTGAAAAAGGAACACTGCTATTAGAAATGCAATCTGGTCCAACCACTATGTAAAGCTGTATGGATGTTCCGCAGACTACTAAAAATAGAGCTGTGGTATGATCTAGCAATTCCACTATGACTAATATACCCAGAGGACACAAAAACACTGGATCAAGAAGATTTGGTATATATATATATATATTTGGTATATATATACAATGGAATGTTAATCAGCAATCAAATATGATACAACATGGATGGAGCTAGAAGGGATTTTACTCAATGAAATATGTTAGAAGGAAAAAGAAAAATACCAATGGTTTTACTTACAGGAGGAATATAGTGGAAACAAATAAGACATTAGGGAAAAAAACAATGTCCAAAACAAAACAAAAATAAACAGACAGCTATAAATCAGAGCCCTTCTGCATTGGAGGGAGAGCCATCAAATGGAGACAGGGAAGAGCACAAGGGACTATGGTGATAGTACACGAGTGAACTGGTGGTGGAAATTCTATGGAGACTATACCTGAGAAAAGAAAACAAACATTTAAAAAATGCAAAAAGATGTAAAATGTATATAAATAAAAATGATAATGATATATAAAAAATAAATCACTCGGTAACGGGCATAACTATAACATAAGAATTGGACATATTAGGGAATGAGTGGTATTATGTTTGGGAAGTTTTACATAACTTATTCTTCACTACATAACTTGTAAAATAGGTGTTATTATTATACCTATGTTACTAAAGAAGAGGCTGATGCTGAGAGAAGAAAAGTGAGATAATCAGATTATATCACTTTTGCTGTTTAAAATTTGATGATTCTCCCTTTTCCTGAGAATAAAGTTACTTATATCCTCATCCCAATCTCCAGGCTGCACAGTTATCTTCCCTAGTTTTGTCTCATACCCTACATCTTGCATTAGAGGCTTTATCCACTGTGACTTATGTTTAGTTCCTCATACAAATTCCTGTTCTTGTGCTCATTCTACTCTCATTACCTAGACTGTCATTCTTGATGTTTACCTACTCATTTTCCAGGCCTTAGTTTAGAGAATCACCCTTTATTGCCCCGTTGACTCTTTAGTGTCCCTCAGACTATATTAGATCCCTATTATGACTATCAATTGAATTCTACATCTCATAATGCTATGCATCACAGTTTTATATCTAGCATAGTTTTTAAGGTCTGTTTTCCTCACTAGATGAAATTTCCTATCCAAATACTGTCCTGTTCGCTGCTCTATCTTAGCACCTACTACAGTGCTTGGCTCATGACAGTGGTTCCATTAATATTGAATTGTTGCATATGTATACCCTCTTTTGTACATAATAGTTGCTCAATATATAGTTAATATGTTGTGATTATTATTGTTCCAGGGTAAATAATACCAGGGACAGAACCAAGATTTACACCCAGGTCTGAATCTAAATCCTATATTCCTTTCACAATATGATTTTGCCTACTAAAATTGCTTTCAAGGCCCAGCAGTGCCACAAACTGGTTCTATGACTTAAGGTGAAACATACAGATATGACACAAACACAAACTAGATAGATGATGACAGAAAGGAAGGAAAGAAAAAAGGAAGGGAGGGAGAGGGAAATAAGTGAATAAATTATCACTCTGAATCTCAGTTTTCTTTCTGGAAATTAAAATAGGGACCTGTGAAATTCAGATTGCTCTGCATGTAATCTAGAATAAGAGGAAAATAGAATATAGGAGGAACTTTAAATAGTTAATTATTACAAATAAGTGCCATCTCTCCACAAGACAATTAAACAAGTATAACAAGAACCCTTGATATTTTATACTTTTCAGCCTAGGTAACCCATTCAATCAATGTGGAGTAGTGAGTGGTTAATGAGCTCTGCATTCAAATTTCAATATCCCACTTACTGATTCTGTGGTCTTTGGCAAGTTATTCTGGACCCCAATTTCCTTCTGAACCCCAATTTCCTTCTTTATAAATTGGATAATGACATCTACTGTTTTACCCCTCTCTAAAGTAAGAAATATGTAATACTAACGTGAAAATAGATTTTTAATACAGAAGAAAGTATTTTTCCCCCATCTCATTCACCTAACACAGTCTTTCTTGATTCTCTTGAAGCAAGAGCCACAGGCAATGTTGAGAGAGATTGAGGACAGAAGATGGCTATCAGAGTCCAGAGTGTCGGGTATGGAGTATAAGCACCCATGGGTCAAACTGAGGCAGAGGAGAAAGCCAGACAAATTTGAGTAGTAGGTAACAATTAGACAGATATGGGAACCACAAATTGGAGAGCTACTGGGAGGAAAACTGTACAGGGCGGCAGGGATAATGGGGGACTTCTGCCAAAGTTTTTACTTAGGAAGACTTCACATGGTCTTAAACATTCTTAAAACTGTACCCTTGCTAATTTCTTATTTAGTCATATGCATGCAATATTTTGTAATTGCAATCTTAGTGTATATACTTTTTTCCACTGAGAATCGTACTTCATTTTCCATGTCACACATTTTCATGATTTCTTTTAGTGGTTGCCAAATATTCCAATTTTGCTTATATCCCAGAAAACAGACCACAGTTTTATTTCCTCTTATTATTTCCATAGAATACCAGGTATGGAAATACTGAACCAGGACATATGCACTTGGAATTTAGTAACTGAAACCAGTTTTTCTTTTATTTTTTTTAAGAAAAATACTATACCACAATTCTCTTCTTCTAGAACTGATAAGTAGATCGTATAGAGTTCTGCTGTGCGATATGAGTGCCATTAAATTCATGTGACTATTTAAAATTTAATAAAAATAAATATAATTCTGTTTCGTTCTTTCTTTTTTTTAATCACCTTTGGAGTTTTTTTTTTAAAAAAACTTTTTTAAGATTTATTTTATTTATGTATACAGAATTGGGTACAGGACAGAGGTGAAGGGGCGGTGAGAGGATTCACTAGAGGCAGAGTGGGGAGCAGAACAGGCAGACTGTAAAAGTACTCTGCTGAGGGGAGAAGTGAGCTGGCCGGGAGAGGTCTGCCGCGCCATGTGGATCACCTCCCAGGTCAGGGATTGAATTTGCACTGAAGCAACTGCAGCTTGCTTGGAGTTCTGCGTCCTAACCCATTGTGTCACCTGGGAGGACCCATAATTCAGTTTCTCCGTTGAATTACACACAAGTCATTTGTTGAATAGCTGCATATAGTGGCCTTATGGAATACACTGTACAAAATGTATAATACACTGTAGAAAATGTATTGGACTGTGCTGCTCTAGAAAGTTTCAAGAGGTTATGTTTGTTTTCTTGGGTGGGAGGGTTTTTTCGTGTGAGACATTTTTATAAACTGCGAGGCTATTTGGCATCTCTGCCCCAAGTACTCTAAATAACAGTAGTATTCTTCTTGAATCAATCCAACAACTAAAACTTGCCCCATATTTGTAAACAAAAATCATCCCCATTTGAAGCCCTCTGAACTTTTATCTCAAGAATCTCCTAATTGTATTGTAATGACTCCAGGTTGTCTCTCTCAAAAAGTGGGACACTTAGAACAATGGATTAGGAAGGTATCTGTGACTCAGATCCTAATTGTACTCCATTCCCATTTTCCTCCCTTTCTTGCTGGTCTCTTTCCTGTTTGGGGGGCATTTCAGGAATAAGACACTGCAGATGGAGAAGATCAAGGCCCGTTTGAAGGCTGAGTTTGAGGCTCTTGAGTCAGAAGAGAGGCACCTAAAGGAATACAAGCAGGAAATGGATCTCCTACTACAGGAAAAGATGGCCCATGTGGAGGAACTACGACTGATACATGCTGACATCAATGTGGTATGTGAGGGGATACCTAAAGCCTGCCTCTGGGCCCTTTGTGGGATAGGAAGTAATGAGTATTTTGGCCTCTCCTTGAGATGTGACTGTAGCCAACTAGGGGTAGTAGGCATCAAGCTGTAGTGGAGTAGAAGAATCTAGGATTTCCAAGATCTCTCACTGTCTATCACTGTAGAAGTCCTTTTCCTGGGCCTGTTTCTCTCTTTACACTTTATGAAAGGGAAATAGTAACCTCTAAGGTCTCTTTAACTCTGATGTGCTCTTATTCTGGGAGTCTGGGAGTTAAGTATTGGCCTTTGGAAAAGATAGAAAAGGCAGCTGTATCTAATGTCTAGCTTCCAACTAGGCCAAGTGATTTCTGCCTACCTACCAAAGCAGGGTTTCCTCCATAGAGATTCTTTTTTGGAGATTCTTGGAATATGAGGAATGAACTGTTCGCTAATGTGCCTCACTTTTTGGAGTTACTCAAGTAGACTATGGATGGTTACCTGTCTTGGTTGCAATAATTGATGATTTTTTTTTAATTTTTTAAAGATTTATTTATTTATTCATACAGAATGGGGTACAGGCCAGAGATGCAGAGGGTGAGAAGATTCACCAGAGACAGAGTGGGTAGCAGAACAGGCAGATTGGCGAAGTACACTGCTGAGGGGAGCAGCGGGCGGGTCAGGAGAGGTCTGCCATGCCATGTGGTCACCTCCGGGGCAGGGGGGTTCGAACTCATGCGGAAGTGGCTTTAGCTTCTTGGTGCGGTGCTCTAACCTGCTGCACCACCAGGAAGGGCCCATTTGATGATTTTTTTATATGATTTATTCACTAAGAGGAAGGTAAGAGGAGCCGGCCTTTAAAGTCCATAGAGCCTAAGATTATGAGAAGTACTTTTTTTTTTTTTTAATTGCATTGAAAGAAGCTACGTTTCTTTTTTAGGGGAAATTTATTTCTCTGGTAATATTAATTTACATTGTCAAGTCTTGGATCTTAAAAGAAATATGAATGAGATTTGGACAGTAAGTACATGGGATTTTCTACAGCACAGATCACAGGATTCCTGGGTTTCAAGAGAAGTTATCAGTTTTGCTGCCTGTTAACCAAGGATAAAAAGCCAATGAAATGTACAAGATATTAGTCATAGAAGTCTTCAAATTCTAGGCAAGCATTTCTCAAGCTTGAATATTCATCTGAGTCACTTGGACTGTTGGACTCTATCCCACAGTTTCTGATTCTGTGTACCTGGGAGCGGAGAGCCTAAGAATTTGTTTTCCAGGACAAAGGCCACTGGAATGGGCAGTAGAAACCCTGAATCTTTATCTAGGCAGTGTGTCTAAGGTATATTTTTCTGAAAAATCTTCCTGTCTCTGAGTATCAATTCTCTGATTTGTAAAATGGTGGTGAGACTGACTAAAGGAGCTCTAAGAGCCAGCCATTCCAACACTAAAATTCTACAGCTGAACAATAATTACCATTTATTGATTCTTTACTCTGTTGTAGCTCCTGTAATGAAATTTAATATAAATTTAATCATTAAATCTTCACCAATATTATATGAAGCCAGCACTATTATTATCATTACTATTTTACAGATGAAGAAACTGAGACATGACAAGAGCCACATAGAATACATGGTGGAAGCACTTGATCATAGATTGGTCTGGCTCTGGAACCTGTGTTCCAGTTTCAGCTGTACCATTTTGCTGTGTTCCTTGAGATATATGCCTACCCCACTCTATGTTCTAGATGGAAAACACCATCAAACAGTCAGAGAATGACCTAAACAAGCTGTTAGAGTCTACCCGTCGGCTACATGATGAGTATAAACCACTGAAGGAACATGTGGATGCCCTGCGTCTGACTCTGGGCCTGCAGAGGCTCCCTGATCTATGTGAAGAGGAGGAGAAACTCTCCTTGGAGTAAGCTGCTTGCCCCCTGTCCCTGCAACATACCCCCCACCCACACCCACACTCACACACACAGAAGTATGTATACACATAAAGTCAGGATGCCCATCCTAGCCCCTAACCTGTTGATTAACTCATTACATGACCTTTTGCAAGTCTCTGTGCTGGGCTATTATAGCAAAAGGATGATTAGACTAGAATTATTGAATGGCTTTTAAAATTCTTTGTGTGATTTTGACAGTACAAGACCATATATATGACATTTACCACGTCAGGATTTTGAAGAAGTGTCTAGAAACCTTTAAAAGTGCATAAGTCAGGTTGGAGCTTCATTGTAGGACCTGAAGTTAAAAAGTTGGCTTACCTCACAGAGAGAGTTTAACTAAGTAAAAAGATGCATACTTTCTTAAGGAAGAGCAGGCTGCTCGTGGAAGGGGTAAGCTTCCTATTCCTAGATGTATGTCAGCAGGGACCTGAGAACACTGAATAGGAATACTGCTGTGATGGTGGGTAGGTAATTGCCCTTTGAGGACCTTGTCTCCGTTGGGATATCCTGATTTTCTGGGTCTGTCAGATTCAAGGAGCAAGAAGATTACTCTACCCAGCAGACAATCTGCCTGATATTCAGGGAGAAGAACCCTATACTGGTGATGGTGCAGAAACCAACACCCTTCGTTCCAGGAGTAGAGATATAAAAGGGGGCACAGTTTTTTTTTTTAAGGTTTATTTATTAATGCATAAAATAATCAGAGTACAAGCTAGAGATGCAGGGGGTGAGAGGATTCACCAGAGACAGGGGGTAACAGAACAGGCAGCTTAACCAAAATACACTGCTGAAGGGGATCAGTCGGTGAGAAAAGAGAGTTCTGCTGTGCCATGTTGGTCACCTCCCTGGCTAGGGATCAAACAAATGCTACAGTGGCTTGTGGATAGCTTCATAGTGGTGTGCTTTAACCTTTTCTGCCACCCGGGAGCCCCAGGGCACAGTCATTGTTTTCAATATGATATAACTAATGTCTTTCATCTCCAAAGTTACTTTGAAAAACAGAAGGCAGAGTGGCAGACAGAACCTCAAGAACCCCCTATTCCTGAGTCCCTGGCCGCTGCTGCCGCTGCCGCCCAACAACTCCAAGTGGCCAGGAAGCAGGACACTCGACAAACAGCAACCTTCAGGCAGCAGCCCCCACCTATGAAGGTGAGTGAACTGTGTAAGAATTTTGGAGGGAGCAAGGTGTCCTTAAGAAGCCCTATGGATGGTTGGGTCTTGGTCTTTGGCTTTAATAATTTGGAGCTTTCCAAAAATAGCCTTTTTGTGGGACAAAGAAGTAAGAGGTGTTGTGCATGTGCTATAATGGGCCCACTGGTTTTGTTGCCTCACTTTCCCAGAGAGGTTATAATGCAGGGATATTAGAAGGCTCTGCTAAAGTATATTTTTCATAAAGTGAGAAATGATTCATATAGATATATAGTGAGCAGAGTTCATTAATGAGTCAGTAGGATTACAAAACTGATTGCAAGAACATTTGAGGGTCAGGTAATTATATATAGTCAGTAAAGGAAAGGAATGCAGAAATAATTCTGCAAAGTTAAATACAGAACAGTTTAATGTCCTACAATACACTTTGTATATAACCTTTTTGATCATATTTTCTTCTGACTAGAAATCTGCTTCTCTACTGGGTGAAGACCAGGTCCCCGTTTTTGTGAATAAAGTTTTATTAGCCTATATGTATGCCTGTTTGATGATGTAATGTCTGCAACTTCTTTCATGTAAAACAGTTATTGTTGAGTAGTTGTAAGTAAAAACATGATCTGAAAAGTCTAAAATATTTACTGCTTTGGTCTCTATGGAAAAAATGTACTGATACCTTTCCTAGATAATTATGTAATCATTGACTGGGTCTCCTCTACCATGTTTCAGTATAATGCTGAATGAATATACTGTTCTCATTTTGCTTTGCTCCAAGTTGTGGATATTTACCCTCTTTGACCCTCACTGCCATATATTCTTCAGTCCCTTATATCTAGCATTGAAATCTACTCAGGGCTCACTGATAACTGCCCTTTCCTATTGAGAAATTGTAATTACTTTCTGGATCCCTGGAGACCATAAGTTTGAATCATGGTCTAGAAGAATCTGACCTCTAACTTTCCTTGTCTTGTGTCCCTAATTAGGCCTGTTTGTCATGTCATCAACAAATTCACCGGAATGCACCTATATGCCCTCTGTGCAAAGCTAAGAGTCGGTCCCGGAACCCCAAAAAGCCAAAACGGAAGCAGGATGAATGAAGAAAGAGAGAACATAGAGCTCTACTGCTCATAACCCTTCCCTTGGCCAGAGTGGTTTATGTCCTAATGTTAAACAACACTTTCCCATCTCTACTAAGTCTCCTATATAACATGATGGAAGCACAACCCCATTCTCACTTCTTATTTCTTTCTGCTCTTGGGGTTTTTGGTTTAGGAAGAGATGTGTTTCAGGTGCTAATGTCGGTGTGTCTGATTACCTTCTCTCCCATCTACATTTCCATGTCTGCCCTTGTTTGGAGCTGAAAGAAGTCCAGAAGACCCAGATATTCTTGTTTGTCTTGTGAATCAGACCTGGGGCCTAAGGTCTGAGTACTCAGGGCAATTACTATTTTATTTCATATGAAGAGTACAGTTTCTTCCTACCTGCATTTTTGCTTTAGGCACAGAAGGGTCAACAGTCTTCTTAATGGACTTTCCAACAGGCTTGAACTATACATTTTGCCATCTCTCCTCATCTCATCTTCAAGGCCCAGAGAGAGCTTATAGAAGCCTTCCTTTTCATATTCATTTGGAAGATCTGGTTCTTAGTACAGAGTTCACCTCCATTCCCAAGGATCTCAGATATTTTGAAGTTCTTAGTTACTGGGTTTTGTGTCTGAAGATCCTGAGATCTGTGACTCTTTACCTTATAACCCTAATTTTTACAAATCAGTAATAGAATGTGCCCACAGTGAAATCTGGAAGCCAGATCTGGTGCACAAGTCCTGCCTAATTTGTTGCAGTAAGTCACTGGACTGAGGACTCTGCTGTACAGGATACCTTAGGCTGAGAGGGACCCTAGGCTAACAACATCTCTGTTGCCTTTTTTTCCCCAAAATCATCACTCTGGTATTTACTCAGTGTTGTATCTTTGGAACCAGAGAAGTGAGTTAATATTCAAGTGAGTGACAATCACTTGAGAATTTTATACAGTGGGGATAAGTAATACTTGCCCTCCATTAATCCTTCCCTCTCTGCATTTGCTTCCTTCTGTAAGACAGTATCAGCTCAGGTCAGCCGCTTGCCATTCCCTTTCCTATGGATTATGCAAGTGGTCTTCCCTCCCCAAAGAAAAGACACTAGCTCCCCACATTCGAACAGCTCTCTAATTAAGTCACTGTCAGACTTAAGGAATAGGATGAGGCTGACTGACTGAAAAATTTTAGTTCCACATCTTTGTCCTTGGCTGGGAGGGGAGATATTTTTCCTTCCTTAATTGTAGTTATAAGTTGTCACATGTCTGTGTGTTCATAGTATAAAGGGTTTCTCTGGTCCTTGAAAAATAAGATTTATGTCTGTACAAATCCTTTTAAATAAACATTTGTTCATTGGAGTAATTGTGATTGAATGCCTGAAAATATCAGATGTAATGCCTTTTCACCTCCTTGGGGAAAATTGACTCTATTTCTTGATGGGAAGAACTGCATGAATATCAGAGATGAGGGGGATTTTTGGCCATTTTGCTTTTTTTGTTTTTAATATTTATGTGTGTGTGTGTGTTTGCACAGTGTTTTATTTCACTTGCCAGGGGTAGTGCCTAGAAAGTTCCCACCACTTATTCATCCATGAACAATCACTGTAGTCCCTTGTGCATTCCTGCCCCCTCACCCTTTGATCTCTTTCCCTCCCTGTCCCTTGCAGAATGTCTCTGATTAATACTGATCCTTTATTGGTTCCCCTAAATTCCTCCTGTAAGTGAAACCATGTGATATGTCCCTCTTCTGACTTATTTCATTGAGAATAAACCCTTGCAGCTCAATACATGTTGCTGCTAATGGCTAAGTTTAACTTTTTTGATTGCTGAATAGTATTTCATTGTGTATATATACCACATCTTCTTGATCTAGTCATGTTATTTGTGAGCATTTGGGTTGTTTCTATATCTTACTTGCTGTAAATAGTGTTGCAATAAACACAGGGGTGCAGGTATCCTTTTGAATTAATGTTTTTGTGTTCTTTGTGTAGATTTCTAGGAGTGGAATTTCTGGGTCATACAGTGACTTACAATTTAGTAACAGCTTTCCATAGAGGTTGGACCAGTTTGCATTGCCACCAGCAGTGTAGGAGAGCTTCTTTTTCTTCACATCTTCCTGATGGCCATATTTGCAGGCAGTTAACCACATTGTCTAGCAACAACCTTCCAAGAAAGATGTTATATGAGTCCATTTTTACAGATGATAAAATGAGACTCAAAATTTGTAACATGATTGCCCAGCAAAAAATTAGGAGATAAAGCTAGAATCAGACCCATGTCTATCTGCCACTAAAACCATTGTTCCTTCTGCCTAGGTATAGTGCTACAGTTAAGTCTGAGACTTGGCTAAGAGAGAATAAAGAAGAAAGAGAAGGGACAACAGTAGAAAGAAAAAAAGTAAAGCAAGGGGGTACAGGAGAGAGAGTGGGGAGGAAGAGAAGGTACTTATTTGTTAAATTATAAACATGCTTTCTACTTAAAGTACCTTTTTCAACATTCTTATTTAATGTTTACAGTAAAAACTTGCACTGCTAGTAAAACATGTGTTAATATAGACCTCATACAGATGAGACCCAGAACGAGTATCCAACTTGCTCAATGTCACAAAGCAAGCTAAGAGTAAACTCAGTTGGGACCGTCTTCATGTTTGACAGAGTGAGGATTAATTGTAAGCATGCTTTGTACCACAGATTGCTTTTACATTAAGAATAGGATTTCCACAGGGTAAAGCCAAGCAATTTTAGCAATTCTGGACTTAAGATTAAGTTCTCTATTGTTCTTATGCCCTTAAATTTCCCATATTATCTATCAGTAGCTATGCAATGATCAGCACCTACCAAGGTAGAAACTGGGAAGGCTATCAACTTGAGTCTTATGCTATTTACTTAACCTCTCAGGGTCTCCATTTTCTGATAGACTAGTTAGAATTCTCATAGTATCACTGTGAAAATTAAATGACTTAATCATTAAAGTGCCTAGAATAGCACCAGACATGCATAATGGCAGTTATGAGGAAGAAAACAATTATGACTGGTTTCCTTAGGAGCCAATGACTAGAGAGGGAACTCGAAGGAGGAGGGCAGAAAAAGGGGAGAAAGAAGTGACAGAAAGAATTACAAGCGTGTACAAAGAACAGATGATACAATAAGTAAGAGATTGCCTCAGTGTAAAGCTGATAGCTGAGAGACATGAATTCATTGTTGGAATATGATGAAATACAGATTCTGCTACCACTAACCACTGTGTCTGCTTAATGATTGTAAAAGGTACAGGCCCTTCCTATGCACTAAGAATAATCCCTCCTTCCAAAGGAAAAACCATCCATAAAAAGTAATTCCCCATAGGTGGTCTAAGCTCACTGGCATTACATAGAAAAAGACATTGAACCAGGAAAGTTATCCCTAGATTCATATCTCTAATAGCTGTCATTTTTTGAGCAATTTAGCAAACATCTATGCCAACTACTTCCCTTATCTGTAAACTATTATGTGTGGTTACAATGAAAATAATAATATCTTCTGTGTGGAGTTGCAGTGAAAAATTAACAAACCATTCACTGAATGCCCATAATTTAGTACACATTGTGAGCAGTAAATACAGCAATCATGTGCTTTCACATACTTTACTACACTATATTGGAAGTAGTGTAATGGCTAAGATGATGGATAATAAAGCTGAAGACTGAATTCAACTCTCAGCAACGCCATTCCTAACTGTGGCCTTCAGGAAACTCATTAACTACTTAAAAATCAGCTGTTCAGTGGAGGTAATAAAAGTTACCTCATTAGATTGTTAAGGATTGAGATAGAATATATAAAGTGCACATAGAAAACTTTCAGTGTTTTATCAACAAGAAAAATCAGATCTTCTTAGCAACTCTTGGTGTCATAAACTTAGAGACCAGAAAATTGAATAGTGCCTTCAAATATGGGTCTATCTGAACACTAAACCAAGAATGTAATGCCAGAAGAATGTACTGATTCTTGCAATTTGTTTGTAAGTGTATCAAAGCTTAGATAGGTTGGTGGATGGACAGAAGGTGAGATATGTGATAAAGTCTAGTAAATACTAATTGTAGGATCTAGGTTGAGAAATATGAGTGCTATCTATCAAAGTTGCTATATATTTAAATTTTCACAATAAAATATTGGAAGATATTTTTCCTTCTGTCTTATTTCACTGAGCATAATCCCTTCTAGCTCCATCCATGTTGCTGCCAATGGCATAAGTTTATTTTTTTTGGTGGCTGAATAGTATTCCATTGTGTATACATCTCACATCTTGATGCAGTCATCTATTTTGTGGGCATTTGGGTTGTTTTCATATACACCTATTGTAAATGGTGGTGCAATAAACATAGTAGTGCAGGTATACTTTTGTATTAATATTTTTGTGTTCTATGGGTAGATTTCTAGGAGTGAAATTGCTGAGTCATAGTAGCTCCATTTATAGTAGTTTGAGCTATTGGATGGTTTTCTTTATAGGAGGAATAGAGGGGAACCAAATAAAGGATCAGGATAAAGAAATAATAATAATAATGTTAAAGAAAATTAATAAGCAACTATAAATCTGACATTCTGCAGAGGAGGGGGGAGTGAGTGAGATCAAAACAAGGGAGGGAACAACAAAAAACCTCGAATAGCCAAAACCCTCATGTCTAAGAAAAATCAAAATGGAGGTATTACAATCCCAAACTTCAAGCTGTACTACAAA